CACATCTCGCTCTGTCCATAGAGTTGGTCTTTTGTTTCAGATGATTTTGAACAGATCTGCTTTGCACTACATAAGCTTATAATTTAACTCTCAGAAGACAATTTTATTTCAAGTTGCACATCTTCTAGGTACACAAGCACACACACAGTACCAACTACAAATAAAACAAAGATTTCTTAAATATAAATAAATCTTATTGCCTTTAATCACAGAAGTCTAAGTAAAAACTGAACTTTAGATAATATCAAACATACTATGATCCAGTATAGTTTAAAGATCAATACACTCAAGACTAAGAATTTGCTAAATCAAAACTACAATGAGGGCCAGGTGCGGTGGCTCACGCCTGTAATCCTAGCACTCCGGGAGGCCCAGGTGGGAGGATCGCTCAAGGTCAGGAGTTCAAAACCAGCCTGAGCAAGAGTGAGACCCCGTCTCTACTAAAAATAGAAAGAAATTAATTGGCAAACTAAAATATATAGAAAAAATTAGCCAGGCATGGTGGCACATGCCTGTAGTCCCAGCTACTCAGGAGGCTGAGGCAGGAGGATCGCTTGAGCCTAGGAGCTTGAGGTTGCTGTGAGCTAGGCTGATGCCACAGCACTCTAGCTCAGGCAACAGAGTGAGACTCTGTCTCAAAAAAACAAAATAAAACAAAAAAACAAAAAAAAACACACTGAGATTAAAGTTGCCTTTAATTCAAAGATAGGCAACAACAGATGCTGGCCAGTATGAGGAGAAAGGGGAACCTCTAAGAGTGTAAATCAGTAAAGCTACTATGGAGAATGTATGGCGGTTCCTCAAAAAAACTAAAAATAGAACCATATGATTCAGAAATATCACTGCTGGGTATATATAAAAATGAAAGGAAATCAGTATATCTAAGAGATATTTGCATTCCCATTTACTGCAGCAGTATTTGCAATAGCCAAAATATGGAATAAATTAAGTCTCCATCAATGAATGAATGAAGAAAATGTGGTACATATACACAATGGAATGTACTTCAGGCATAAAAAAGAATGAAATCCTATCATTTGCAACAACATGGATGGAACTAGAGGATATTATATTAAGTGAAATAAGCCAGGCACAGAAAAACAAATATTGCATGTACTTATTTATATGTGGATGCTAAAAAAAAAAAAAAAGTTGATCTCATGGAACTAGAGAGCATGATGGTTACCAGAAGCTGAGAAGGGTAGTGGGGAGGGGGCAATAAAGAGAGGTTGGCTAATGGGTACAAAAATACAGTTAGTATAAGATATAGTGTTCAACAGTACAATAGGGTGACTATAGTTAACAATAATTTACTGTATATTTCAATATAACTATAAAGTGGAACTGGAATGTTCCTAACACAAAGAAATGATAAATGCTTGAGGTGATGGATATTCCAATTGCCCTGATTTGATTATTAAACATTGTATGTTCACATGTACCCCATAAATATGTATGATTATATATATATATAATATTTATAATACATTTTAAACCAAAACTTAAAAAAAGACTAAGGATTTGCTAATAATATTTAATTCATTTTTTTTGTTTGCTCTGAAATATTTTAGAAGATGAAGAACATGGAAATGTAGAGAGATTCTATACTTGTAAAATGTATATTAGGTTCATAGATTATACAAGGAATTACTAGGTCCATAAACTAAACAGTGAAGCACATGAAAGAGGGAAAAGTATATGAAATAGGCAGTCCTTAACTTAAAGGCAATTCTATGTTGATGAACACTCACTGTGGCATTATGAAATTTTTCCATTCTGCCAAAATAGATCTGCAACAGATACCACCACCCATTTCATCAGGAATTCTTCCCTGCTATGACTTCCTGGGATCTTCTACCTGAACCTCTGCTGAGACAGCTGCCTAAGCTCTGAGATCTTTCACCGAGCCAGCCAATTTTCTTTTTCATTACTAGAATTTGAGTGTTCAGATATATTATGAATTAAAAGAAGATAAGAAAATTATCTGGGCTAGGCTGAAAACTAAACCAATATTTAAAATATCATCACTGTGAGAATGAATTTGAAACTCCAAATTACCAACTTATTACTGGAATTTATCCTATTCAGGAGTTTATCTAGAAATATATCCAGCCTGAAAAACAAGCCCAATTATTCTCTTTGCTACCTGTGAATGTTTATAGACAGTTAAATTAATATTCACTTAACAAATACATTGTAAAATCTCAGATCTAGCTACTTTAGGAAAGGCTACAAAGAAATGTTAAGTTAATAAGTTCTATGCTAAAAAAAATTTTCTTGCCTGAGCATTAACATCATTTAGAGGCCCAATCTATCTCATGTGTCTCTCTTTATGGAATCAACATTTAGGAATTCATATATAAAATTGTGAGGAGTCCAGGGGACTAAAAAGATTTAGAGATTCTCTGACTTCACCTTGTTCTAAATTTTATAATAATCCTAGATGTCTTGCTTAGAGAGGCCAATTTTCATACAAACTCATCACCTATGATAGATGTTTTGGCATAGTTCTGTCTTTAAAACAAGGTGCTGTTAGAATTCCCTTAGGAAAACACATTGCCAATCTGCCACCTCTCTGTAACTCTCCAAATCAGTTTAGTCAAAGCTCCTTTCTTCTTTGTTTACCCATATCTGGCCACTGTCCAAAGGCTGCTTTTAAAACTTCTAAAACTATATATAATTTTTATGAAGAAGTTGTGAATGTTTACAAAGTTGATGTATATTTGAAAATTTTTAAAGATTCAGGTCAGCTACTTTAAGAATGGCTACAATTTTATTTACTTTTTGCATGAAGCTTACTAATTTCTGAATTGGAATACAGTCAAATATTTAAAACTTGAATCCTTAGTTTACAGTATCCCTAAGCAAAAGGTTATATATTGATTCTTTAAGACACCGAAAAAGTGATCTAGTAGAAAAGTTTAATGACTTGAGCACAGTTAAATCAGGAAATTAAAAACTGCCAAATATTACAATAAGACCGTATTCTAGATATATTACACAAAAAATAAATGTACAGAATACCAACATTGCATATAAATATATTGCTATATGAGTCAAAGGAAATATATTTGTGGTTTTTAAATTCAGGGCCACAGGCTTAAAATTTAAGGATACTTATTTTAAAGACACCTGTATTAAACATAAATAATTATGGAGTGTAATGGTAAGATAATGAAGTATGAGAAACAAGCCCAAACACTTTTAGCCTTAAATTTTGAACCTGAATAAGACCACTTTTTATTTCTTAACTGAATTTCAACTAGATTATGCAAAATAGCCTATTCAATTTCATAATGCAGGAAGGTTAGGATATAATCAACAGGTACATTTACCATTCGAAGTAATGGCTAAAAGCCACTTTCATATATTCATTGGCAAATGAATGGGGGAAAAGTGCTCTAATGTCATTACTGTAATAGTGTGGCTAAAACATTACCTTCTTAGAGAGAAAGAGAGGGATTAGTTTCTAGATGAATTTACAAAAAGCTATCTAAAGTAATATGCTTGTTTCAATGTTGAATTCTACCCCTCCTAACAATTTTGCTACCAGAGGAGAAATTTCAGATTAAGTTAACAAAGTGCTACTACATTTACTATGTTTTTCATGAAATACCTTTATTTAATCAATAAATCTTAGTTCAGTGATCATTAGTAGGCTATAAACTGTATCTGTTTATTCATTGCTATACCCCTAGTCCCTAACATAGTGCCTAATATATAACAGGTGCTCAAAAGATATTTGTTGCAATAAGCCAATCTGCTATAATATTTACTGGTAACTGGTACTCTTTCTATTCACTTTATTTCAAATAAAATATACAACAACAAAAATCAGACATTTTTCTTAAACTTTGGAAGTTTGCTTTTCTACTCATAAAATTCTGAAAAAACCTTTCATTTTTCCTTTATTTTATTCTATTTATTAGTCAGGACAGAATTATTAGATTTTTCCCCCCAAGTGTGCCAAGACTACACTGAAAATCTCACCTATGTTCTTGAACATATTATACAGAGATTTTGATCAGGAAGGAATGGCATAGCCTAAAGCACCAGAACAAACTAAAATACCAGTTAGCTTCAGGGCTCACAGATTGAAATTTTTTGTTTGTCTATGGAAGGAAAGACAGAGTCAGATATGCGTAGCATAGGTGGAGTTTTGGTCTCTCTTCATGCCTTTTTGTTCTCTCATTAGCCACCTATTTACTATACTTACTAAATAAATTTTTATCTTATCTACTCCTCAATATGTACCTTTCATTTACTATATACTCTTAAACAAAAAGAAAAGTTGCAGTTTCAACCATAAAGGCTTACTTTTGAAAATGGCCACTATGAACATTACTTTTTACTTAAGCCTGACCTGAAAGACTTTATTTCAATGCAGCAGTTCTCAAAGTGTGGTCCAAAGAATCTTGTAGAGTAGGGAAAGTGGGGGAGTCTTTGAGACTCTTTTAGTTTAACAAGGTAAAAATGATTTTCATAACAACACTAGGACATTGCCTTTTTCACTCCCAGTCTCTCCAGAGTAACAATAGAGTTTTCCAGAGGACATATGACATGCCATATCACAAGAAATTGAATGCAGAAGCAGATGTCAGAATTCTTTGTCATCAAGCCAGATATTAAAGAGTTTACAAAAATATAGGCAATGTTACTCTTGTCACTAAATATTTTATCTTAGAAAATTTACTTTTTTTCATTTAAAAATTATGTCAACATAATTATATTTGTTTAAATGAATAAATTAAATCTCAGTTTTAATTTCTAATGATAAATATTGACAGATATAACCCACATAAACAAAAACTCTTTGAAGTCCTCAATAATTTTTTTAAAACTGAAAAGGGGTCCACAAACCAAAAACTTTGAGAACCACTGCTTTAATAAAGAGAGAAAACAAGATCCTTCCTTGCCTTTTAGATTTTACTTGAAACATGCAATTCATAAAATGTAAGGTAAATCTAACTTTAAATATTATTTTAAAGCATTGGACTTACCATTATAGGTTATTCTTGGCTTTGTTAAACACATCACGAGATGCAAATCCATTTCATCTGAGGGTACAAATTTTGAGCATACAGGGCACTTAAATCCTAAAAAGTAAAAGAAATCCAAGTTACTTAACTATTCTGAATATCCCACTGTGGTTTTTAAAAAGCGTGAACAATCAAAAGCATTTCAAACTTCAGTATTACACTTATGGTAATGCACTGCACTATTTATGTGCAACTCAAATTGGAAAAAGAGCTTCTGACTTACATCAGTTTATGACAATCATCTCATCTTCAAATAAAACAAGTTCAAATAAGGAGGGCGTGGCCCACTACAAAACTCCTGCATCTCTTTTTAATGTGGTCCAGTTATTCTCTTTTTCTCTCTAATTTTTTATATTAACCTATACTTATGATTTTACATTACAGTTTTATAACCTGACCATGCTTGTAGAAATTATCTTTCCCAGCTTGGTACAATATACTTTGAGTCACAAGGTTTTATAGCCAGATGGTACCTTAGAACTATTCTACCCCATCAATCTTTTAAAAATTTATTTGACAAAGAGTGTGAACACTTTCAGAACAGCAAAAAATAGGACTAGAATCTAAGGGTCTTGACTTCTAGTTTAATGGTCTTTCTGTCACACCATACTACTAAAGTCATAATGCAAACAGAAAATTAGCATTGAACCAGGGCAGGTTTTTGCAGTCAATTTTGACACTTTAAATCTGCTAGTTTCCTACAATTTTCAATCTGCAATACTAAGTATTTGCCTAAAGTACTCCATTAAAAATAAACTGACATACTGGAGAAGAGAATATTTTGTGTATTCAGCTCTACCTTACCATCCCCCACTTACAAAGGTGAACTGTCCCACCCCTGGTTCCTTGCTGCTTAGGCAGTCATTATACAGTCATTATAAACATGAATACTATGTTTCCCTGCTGCCCCATTGCTCCCACCCCACCCCTCACCACATCCCTAAGCTGTCTGGACATGTGATCCCAGACAGCCAATTTATTGTTTGGCCAGGGACAAATCAGTAGTGGAACAAAAAGATGGGCTGGGCCTATCCTTTTTCTTCTTGGAAATATGATTAAGAAACAGTGAGAGACTACATTGGCAAGCAGGAAAGAGCTGAAGCAGAATGGTCAAATATAGGTAAGAGAGAGACTGAAGTGTCCAAGAAGGCTCAGGTATAAGCTGAACTTATGAGAGAACAGAAACTATAGGCAAGCACAGGAAAGTGGGCCACATGGAGGTCCTGGAGCAGAAGTATAGACAGAGGCAGCAGCACTGTGAGAGACAATGAGACAGATGGTGAAAGAAACATTCTGGCAGATCTCTAGTTCTAGCTCATGTATGTTCTTATAGGAACTGTCCTCCCTTCACCGTGACATGAAACTCACTGCAACCAAATGAGTCAGACTAGAATCATACCTCATACACAGGATTGGGAAAAAGGTGTTGGCATGACTACTCATACAGGTATTCAATTTCTTAAATGAAATAGATGATTTTGAACACTGTTTTTCAAACTATATTACTAATATATGTATTTTAAAAGAAAGGGATGAAGGTATGTTTACTTCAACTTCTTGAAAACCACCAAAAGAAAAAGAAAAAAAAAAAGGAAAGAGAATTCATCTAAAATAAAACTATAAAAACTTGTAATAACCAAACAAAAGACTGCATCAAATACGGTGAAACTGACTAACTAGTGAGAAGACAGAGAGACCCTAAAGCAGCCTTCGGATTTCAGGGACCAACTAATAAATCCTTTGCTTGAAATTTTAAAAATTTGCTTCCTTGAAGTTAAACAAGGCATAAAAGGGCAAGAGGCAACCAATTTTGCAGCTACTGATCAGAATTATCTGAGCACTGGCAAACAGATCCTAAATCAACAAACAAAAGTACAACACTATGAACCTAAAAAGCCTCATTGAGAACCATCCAACCATCCACAAAACAGAGCCTAAGGAGATAAACATCATGTACAAAGAATCACCTGGATTTCTAGTTAAATATAGTGAATTAAACACATGTGTCTCTTTCTCCTCCCAAAACCCACTAAAATGAAAATAAATAAAAGTAAATAAAAATGGTTTAAAGAAGAACATGAGAGGAATCAGCAGCAAATGGTATATAAAAATACAAAGGAATAGGACTGAGAAAACAGACATCATAAGTGCATGCAGAAGTAAGCCAATTCTCATTACATAATTCCCAAAGGACTCAGGAATCTATAGCTCCATGACTTCCTAAGACAATGGTGATGCATGAGGCTAAAATCTAGATTGACTGAAAGACTGAATAAAAAACAGATCCAGTCAGACACAGTGGTTCACAGCTATAATCCCAGCACTTTGAGAGGCTGGAGTGGGAGGATCACTTGAAGCTAAGAATTCGAGACCAGCCTGGGCAACATAGTGAGATGCTGTCTCTACCAAAAAAAAATAGCTGGGTGTGGTTGCAGGTGCCTGTAGTGCCTGAGGCAGATGCCTGAAGCTGAGGTAGGAAGATCACCTGAGCCCAGGATTGAGGTTACAGTGAGCTATAATTGTACCACTGCACTCCAGCCTGGGTAACAGAGCAAGACTGTCTATAAAAGAAAAAAATAAACAAAAAACAAAAAAAAAACCAGATCCCCAGGTCCCCAATCTATGACATACAGCCAAGCACCTACCATACTCCTACAAGAGCAGAATGGAGTTTCACTGTGGAAAAAAGAAAAGAACCAAAGAATATTCAGAATTGAGAACACCAGGCACAGAAATGGGCAGGGAGGAAAACAGAGGAATAAATAAAGATCTATACACTGAAAAAGGCTCCTTGTCCCATTGAGACTCCTTGTCCCATCTATACCCATTGAGAAATTGGTAGATTCTTCTCTGAAATCAAAAGGTTCCACAGAATGAAACATCAAAATTCTTGCCAATTAATATGCCCTAGACTTTCCCATAAAGCTTCCAATCAGCTTTTTAGGGCACCTCTTAAGCATCATGCAATAAAAAAAAAAATTTGTTATGGCAAAACACTCCAGAAGCAAATTCAAAAGACAAATGATAAATTTAAAATATTTGCAATATATGTCAAAAACAAAAGGACAATATCCTTAACATATAGATGTTCCTCAACTTACGACATTAAGGTGAAAATATCCTAAATTGAAAATGCATTTATTATATCTAACCTACGGAACATCATAGCTTAGCCAGGCCTACCTTAAACATGCTCAGAACACTTTCAATACAGTATTCAATAAATTACATGAGATATTCAACACTTTGTTATAAAATAGGCTTTGTGTTAGATGATTTGGCCCTGCACCGTGACATTATCATACTGTACATTGTTAAATCAAGAAAAGATCGAAGTTCAAAATTCAAAGTATAGTTTCTACTTTCATATTGTTTTTGCACTATAAAGTTGGAAAACCACAAGTCAAACCATTGTAAGTCATAGACTATATGTATAAAGAACTCTCAAAATTGAGGAAAATAAAACCAAATACTGTTAGAAAAAGAGACAAAAGTTCTAAACAGACATTTCACCAAGAAAAAAAAAGATATGCATATGCCCCTTAAATAAATAAAAAACTACAGTGTTTGAATAAAAGAAGCACTTTCTACTCAAGTTCTTTACATTTCCTTACTCTCATTTTAGTAGGTATAAGAGGGAGGAGAGAGAAATACATCTTTAATTCACTGCATGTACCTAGAAATCCAGGTGGTTCTTGTAGACTGTGTTCTCCTTTAGGCTCTGCTTTGTCTCTACACTGAGATACTATTTCTCATCCTAGATCAGCAAAAACTCAAAGCTTGACAACAAGGTGGGCATGGTGGCTCTCGCCTATAACCCTAGCACTCTAGGAAGCTGAGGCAGGAGCATTGCTTGAGCTCAGGAGTTTGAGACCAGCTTGAGCAAGAGTGAGATTCCAGCAAGAATGAGACCATCTCTACTAAAAATTAAAAAAATTAGCCAAGTAACTAAAAATAGAAACAAAATATTAGCCAGGTGTGGTGGTAAGCGCCTGTAGTCCCAGCTACTCAGGAGGCTGAGGCAGGAGGATCGCTTGAGCCCAGGAGTTTGAGGTTGCTGTGAGCTAGGCTGATGTCACGGCACTCTAGCCAGGGCAACACAGTGAGACCCTGTTTCAAAAAAAAAAGCTTGAGAACACACTGTTGATAAGGCTGTGGACAGATACTTTCATATACTGATGGTAGGATTGCAAAATTGTACGATCTCTATGAAAGGGTAATTTGTCAATATCTAATCAGACTACATATGTACTTATCTCTTCTGATCTGGTCCTTGAAATGTGCACTGAAGGTATGTCCCCAATGATACAAAATACACATGCACATTAATTTACCATGGCACTATTTGAAATAGCACAATATTCAAAACAATTTAAGTGATCACAGAGATTTGGCAAATAAACCATGATGTGTCCGCGTGATGGATGTACTAATGCAGCTGTAAAAAAGATATGAGGAAGATCTCTATGAGCTGACACTGAGTGATTTCCAGGTTATATTAAGTGGGGAAAAAAGCAAGGTTCAAAGGAATGCATATGTTATGCTAGCTACTGTGCAAAGAAGAATAAATAAGAATGCATGTGTATAGCTGCACAAAGAAAAACAGGAAGGATAAACTTCAAACTAGGGTTTACACACGTTATCTACAGATGGTAAGAATGTGGTGAAAGACACAGGGAAGATGGTACTCATGTCTATACCTTTTAATAAACTATTTGACTTTTGAACAATGTTAATGATTTACATATTCAAAAATAAAAACCAAGAATTAGTAGAAAATCTCTAAATTTAAATAGAAACAAATGAACCTAATTACATATCAAATAGGTAATCACAAAGAAAAGTACACACAAACTTCCTAGCTCTGCCCACTAAAAGGACCTAGAAGCAATGACACTCCAAGAGCCACAGGCAAACCCAGCCCCCAGATCTTAGGTTTCTAAGTATTATTCCTCCCAAAAAACAAACCAGAGCTCCTTGGAGAAACGGCTGGTTCTAGGCCTGGGGCAGGGAAAGTACAAGATGAGCTTAGAATATCTTCTTGCACCAGACCAGAT